ACACACACACACACACACACACACACACACACACACACACACACACACACACACACACACACACACACACACACACACGCGCGCGCGCGCGCGCGCACACACACACATTATAGAGCGAGCGAGAGAGAGATGTTGACGCTGTGTCACGCGAGAGAGGTCGCGGGAAGCCGCCTTGTGCTACGAGCAAAGAAGAACTGTGCACTATTCAATCCCCATGCTGCAGCGCTATGTTGAGAAGGTGAAAAAGGCGCGCATTACACAAACGCGGACAGACGATATACAGTCTTACAGCCGTGTCTGGCTAGAGACATCAGTTACTTAAGCTGGGAACACACGAGCGTATTTTTTCGCCCGATCGCGGCGAATTTTAAAATCGCTCAAAAAATTCGCCCGTATGCCCGTTCACGTCGACGACGATTTCGTACGCCCGTACGACGCCCGTACGAATCGCCCGTATTAAAAATGTTAGATATTTTCGGCCGATTATTTACGCCGGCGGAAGATCCGCTGGCAAATTCGCTCGTCTGCCCGTGTCTGGCGTATTTTGTCGAGCGATCGATTTTTTTAAACCAATCGGACGTGTTGTTGATATCATGTGATGCATCATGTGATCATGTGATTCCGTCGAGTGGCGTACGCGTACGCTCTCAAATTCGCTACGTGTGCCCCTTCGTGATCGGGCGTATAAATACGCTGGCGATTTTAATCGTCGTGATCGGGCGTATAAATACGCTCGTGTGTTCCCAGCTTTACAATATAGCAAGCAGTATAGCAACTGCAAATAATGCTAATAAATATGCGGCGCGTACTTGTTACCCGCGTTTATTCCTAGAAAATTTTACAAAATGAAAAGACAATCTATGTACGGACTCTGTAAACTGACTTCAAAACATGTTGCTGAAACAACTGCTGCGTTCGATAGATTGAGAAGCAAAACTTATCAAACTATCAAACCATATCTTGCACTAATATACATGGTAGCAAGTTAATCTATTGAGGGACCGGGTTATCAAGGAATCAGGGTAGGCACAATACACAGGTTTTACGAAAGTTCTAAGAGGCCTACGAAGTTGTGTAAATATGTATTTTAACTGTGTTAAACCTTAAGAGGCGTTATAGGCCAACGGAATGAAGGCAAATAGACGGCGTTTTCGCAAATTGAACGTAAATCTGACCCGAATGATTAGCTATACGGTAGGCCTACGCTCCCTCGCGCACTAGAAGTAGTCCGTAAACTGCATGATAGCAATGTATTTGCCTGTACTTGTAGCTGTTAACAGTGTTGGTCTGTTTGTCAGCCCTTCAACGTGTATATTGGTATAATAGAATATGTATGCGGTTCGCGTATTTGTGCAGATAACGTAGCGGGGGACGATGATCGTAAGCATTGCTCATGCATTAAACACGCCATTTTCGAGCTTTGCTAATTTCTTCTAGAATGAACGACGCTTTGTCGTACGTGTGCGCTACACCCACATGTACTGTTTTCGACGTCGGTGAAGCTAGGGGCGGGTGACGGCAGGTGCAGGTGCAGCCAGCTAGCCAGCGTGTGTTCCCGACGATATTCGAATGTAAATTTTTCATTTATCGCCACCTGCAGCGCCATCATGTGTGACTAACAGTAGTTACGTAAAACCTGTTCTTCGCTAATCGATGTCGTCATTGTCTTAAGGTGCGAACATCTCCGCCTAGTTACGGTGACCTCGCCACGAGGTTCATTAGCTTTAGTGGAATGCAACCGTTGGTAATTAACCTGTACTAACTTTTGCCAATCGAGCGAACATTGCATTTCCAACGCCCGCATAAGCGGAAAGACACCGTAGTACGTAGCTCTTATTGGCCTCGTAAATCACCCGTATAAATTACAATATCTGTCGGTTGGCGGCTGGCGGGGTGTATTGCGACATGTGCTACACACGCACGCATGCACACACAGACACAAACACACACGCACTCATGTGCCCGCGTGTGTGTGTGTGCGTGCGTGTGTGTGTGTGTGTGCGCGTGCGCACGCGCGTGTGTGTGCGTGTGTGTGTGTGTGTGTGTGTGTGTGTG